TTTATATATATATATATATATATATATATATATATATATATATATATATATATGTTTTGCTTAAAACTTATTCATATGTTTTGGAAAGTAGCTAAGGTTAGACACGTGGATATTAATTAAATTATTTTATTGCTGTTAATAATAATCCTTAGTCATATGGACTCTGAGAGAATATTTCATTTACGGAGAATAATTTTCGATGTGACTGCAGACATGTAATACAGCGCATGTTTATTTCGACTTTGATGTTTATATAAATTTATTCGAAGACGCCTGATGAAGTTGAGATTATCAACGAAACGTTGCGGAATTTGAAATAATTTAGACATCAAATAATTTACGGATCTTAAATAACCTGAGCATTTATTTATTTATTTATTGGCCGAGATCTGAATATTACCTTCAATAATAATTATCTGATATAATTGATATAATTTGTTTAAATATAATCACGAACAATTAATTATAGAACAATATTCTGACTGCTAGCTCTGACGTTACGCGAAAAGAGAGATATATGTCACAAGCCAACGTTTGGGCCTCTCTATCGGTTGTTTGATCGTGCCTCTCTATCGCTTGTTGTGCGCTCTCGCTTACACGCACAGGCTCAGGTGGAACGCTCAGGAGGAACGCACAGGCGGAAGGCGACACTTTTTCGTGAGTGCTGTCGGTGTTCATCAATTTATAAGATGTTATCACGTCAAAAATTATTTTTTTTGCATTTTCTAAAGTATAATAAAATTTATAAACAATATAATTATTCAATTATTAATTCAAAGTTCACTTTAAAAGTATATTTTATTATGTTATATATAGTTTTACAGAGTCATAAAAGTAATTTTGTTTTTAATTACGTTTATTATCTAAAAAACAATGTCTCTTTTTAACTAAAAGATAAACTATATATGTTACACTTTTATGTTTTTCAATTTAAAATATAGATTACGATTTGATGATCACAAAAAAAAACTTTCTTCAAAAACATTGTTTACTATTTAATGTAATAACATATGGAACCTACAAGCTTTAATTGATAAAATGAAAGTATTTTTTTGTATACAGTGCTTCCTCTTCAAAATATTTTGCCTTTGTCTCAATTTTTCCATTAGTCACTAACAAGAGAAAAAACGATAATCTACGTTCTAGAGAGGAAGCACTGTAAAAACTTAAAATTTTGGTTTTTCTATGATAAATACAGTCATGTAATTGTCAAACCAATACCGCTGCAAAGATGATAAAAATAATAATGGACAATTTTTATGCATAAGCTTATTAATGATTTAAACCCTGATAAAAAAAAAAAGTATTGAAAAGTATTGGTTTTCTATATAGTCAATCTAATACTTTTCAATACTTTTTTCTTTGTCTCAATACTTTTTTTTATTCAAGGAAGTTGTGAAAGAATTTAACTTTTTATATTTAAACATATACCAAAAAATAGGCTAAATTTACCTTATATTTTCCAAGGCGGGGAAGAATACACATGAAAAAATTAATAACCCCGTAACACATGCAAGAAGCAATAGCATCGGATAATCCGATGCATATCTTGGTTTCATCGATGTATAGTTCACCATAATTATTTTCTTCCTTCAGATAGTTTTTTTTTTCGTCTTCTGGTGCATATAGCGTAACTACACGGTCAATACTAAAGTATAGCTTTTGATTTATGACCTTTGAATTGTCTGTTATCAGTCTACTCCAATTGTAGGAGTCTTAATGACACCAGTCATTATGTTATTTTTAGTGAAACTTGAAAATTCTTGATTGAAAAATATTCCTCAATATTGAAATACACTGAGAAAAAAAAATACTTTTGCTCAATTAACAATTTCTTGGCTCAAGAAACTCGCTGACGATCAAATATTCTATTATTATTAATTATGAATTTCTGAAGAGAAGAACATCAATATTTATCTTTGGATAATAGATAAACAATAGAATAGCTTTATTTAAATTAAGTAAAAATTATTTCAATCAATTTAACAATTTCTTGAGTTAAGAATATATATTCTTGAAAATTTTCAAGAACAAAAAATCTTGTATCAAGAAAATTTTCTTAATAAAAATATTTTTTTTTCTCGGTGTATAACGATGGTACAACAATAATTAAAGATTATTTCCTCCATAAGTATAACACAATTTTCCTCTTTCCGTAATAAGATAATCTTCCTTTTATTTTTTCTTTTTTTTGTGCGTCTAGATGATGATGATTATAAATTACTGCCCATGAATTCCACGTCTAAGGCTCGCATTAGCTTAAGAAAGTAACGGAAAAAAATATCATTTATCTGTTCTGATCCATATCTGTTTTGTACTTTAATTATTAACGAGACAAGTCAAGCGAGTTGGAAAATTAAAAGAAAACGAAGTGTTTACTTATGAGTGAAGAATTGAATAGATAATTATATAAATAAACATTAAAATCAAATATTTATTGTTGGAGTTATGGTTTATAAATAATAACGCAAAGTTAAAGTTAATTAGAATTTATTAAGACTTTCGTACAGTCGTACAAATCGTTAAGACGCCCAAAAAGAGATTAAGTGAGCACTCAAAAGATGCAGACGCTCTGAACCCTTAGTACTCGAGTAGGAAGGGAGAGGCTGCGCAAAGTGCGCAAAGAGCGCAGTAGAGTCAAATAGCATAGGCGTTAACTGTACTATTCCAACACTCCCTCCCGACTATGTGTTAGCTATGAGATTGTTTTCGTTATTTCGTTCTCGTTCGGTCGTTTACGCATCGTATTCTTAATCATGTCATCCATATCTTTCAACAGCTCATTTTCTTCTTGTTGGCTTATGAATTTTGGCATTATCAGCTTTTTACCCTCATTTTCACAACAGTTTGTTTTCTCGTTCAGAAGATCCCACTCGTCATTTAATAATTTTAGGTTAGCTAAGGTAATAAGTTTTTATTATTCGTTTTAAAAGACGCCAAAATATATATCTCTAGCTCAGTTGACCGAACACCAAGTATGGCTAAGCTGAGACAAATCTGTACATGTATATCCGAACATAAAGATTGTACATTTACAGATCTTAATCCCCGCAACAATAATTAATACACAATATTATTCACTGTCCCAAAGATCCAACAAGATAATTTGAAATCAATTTAACTTAAGTTCAAATATTCAAATTTACATGCACATGTTCAGGTGTTAAATAATGTTAATTGAACTTTTATTAAAATGAAAAACACACGCTTTATACTCAACACCCGTTTGAGTTTTTAAAACAACGTTGTTTTTGACAACCGTTATCGTTACCTCCTCGTTTGAATGATTTTGACTAAATTTGAAAAAATTCTCAAATTTATTCATCAAGCCTTCAAAGACCTGATCTATCGTTTCTTGTTCTAGAACTGTGAAAATGGTTGTACCACGAAATCTCCCCGGACAAAATCTCCCCGACAAAATACGCTTCAAAATCTCGTTGTGCCCTTTTATCATGATTTTTTGTGTATATTTACATGAAAAATACCATCACAACTGTCAGGAATAATAAAATTATTATTTAAAATTATTTAAAATTAGATTTTGTCGGGGAGATTTTGTCGTGTCACCATTTAAATTACTCAGCACTACATCGATAATACAGCAACAGTATTGTTAAGGTCAGCTAAGAGCCCATACAAAACACTTCGTTAGGTTGACCATGAAATTTATGTATAAACACATAAAATTTGAGACTCCGCTTGTCTCATTGTACGTATTATTTCGTTATGTTTATTTTAACCCTCGTAAACATCTTGCGCTCTGTTACTAGCCTGACCAAAAACACGTGTTGCACACAATGTCTGCCTTGTAATTCAGATAAATAACTAGTTTCCCATCATTTGGGCCTCTCGAAATTCGTTACTCAACTTTCGTATATTTCACTCGAACTTATTTTTATAGTTTTCTTTGTTATATATTTTTATTCTCGTTAAAGTTTAAGTTTTTCCTCGTACCCTTGTAGGAAAAAAATTATATACAACGGGGCCTGTCTTGGCACAATACTGGGTTGCCCAGACTCGGCCGAACAATACTGGCCCACGAGTTATTTGGTGAGACTTTCGTCTGCCTCCTTTCGAACAGGCCGTTTCCTGGGCTTAAAAAAGCTATACACGCACGTGAAATAAAACCCAAATCTCACCAAACAAAAGCACTGTCAACTCGCCGGGCAAGGAAAAACCCTGCCCTCCAGCTTTTACGCTATCACTGGACAGAATGTGAATGGAGTTGAATTTAATTTAATGTCAATCTGTCCTCGTAATTGTTCACTGTATCAAACCCCCTATACAACTCCATTCAACAACTACGTTGGCCTGGCCGGTAATACAATGACAACCCGACCAGTTGCCCAGCGGGGCCCATGCGGGGAGGTGTAGCCGCAAGGCTTGTTGAGCTATAATATTTAGTTATCCCTGTATGTGTCTCGTTCGTTTGTTACTTGTCTTCTGTAATCTCCATAATCTTTGAGCCTACCTGCGTTGCCAAATGTTTTGACAACGTCACGAGGCCTTACTCATGATACTGGCCCACGACTGGACCACTACTCAGCTGACAAGTCTTGGTTTGCCAGTCTTGGACCAAGACCCAGCCAATATTCAACTGACAAGCCTTGGTTTGCCAGTCTTAAACCAAGACCCAGCCAATATTTTACTGACAAGCCTTGGTTTGCCAGTCTTGAACCAAGAGCTAGCCAATATTCAATTGACAAGTCTTGTTAAACTAGTCTTGTACCAAGATCTAGCCAATGTCTATGTAACAAGTCTTGGTTTGCCAGTCTTGAACCAAGACCCAGCCAATATTTAACTGACAAGCCTTGGTTTGCCAGTCTTGAGCCAAGACTCAGCCAATATTCAAGTGACAAGTCTTGGTTTATTACTCTTGGACCAAGACCCAGCCAATGTCTATGTAACGAGCCTTGGTTTGCCAGTCTTGAACCAAGACCCAGCCAATATTCAAGTGACAAGTCTTGGTTTATTACTCTTGGACCAAGACCCAGCCAATGTCTATGTAACGAGCCTTGGTTTGCCAGTCTTGAACCAAGACCCAGCCAATATTCAAGTGACAAGTCTTGGTTTATTACTCTTGGACCAAGACCTAGCCAATATCTATGTAACGAGCCTTGGTTTGCCAGTCTTGAACCAAGACCCAGCCAATATTCAAGTGACAAGTCTTGGTTTACTACTCTTGGACCAAGACCCAGCCAATGTCTATGTAACGAGTCTTGGTTTGCCAGCCTTGATTCAAGAGTTGAACCAATATTTAATTAACAAGGCTTCACAGAAAAAAAAAATTAGAAAAACGGTTCACCCTAAAGGCCATCCCTGCAACTTCCCGCTAATTCCATACCTAGGCGCTTAAAATTGTACTCATGACATTTTTGATATTTTTGAGTTCAAAATATAATTTATGAGATATTTTGAGCTCGATGAGTTCAAAGAGATAATATTTCTATGCATTTGAGCTCTCCCAGCTCAAAAGTCTAATAGAAGTTTCATAGAACACTATTTTTGGAATTTTCAAACCGCAATAACTTTTGAATGAATGAACCGATTTTCACGCGGTTGGCGGCATTCTACGCAGTTTTTTAAGAATCATAATGAATTCTTAAGTTTCAATTGGTTAAACTAGAAATTTCGGAGTAATTCCGAAAAAACGCTTTTTTCGTTTTTTTTTCGTTCACGATATCTCTTGAACGAATCAACCGATTTTGATCGGTGAGGTCAATTACTATCTTACGCAGATGTTGTCGGGACATGGGTGTTTCCGAGAGTATCTACACCGCTTCAAGCACGATGACTCTTCGGAGTGCCCGACCTCCCCAGGAGTTGCTGAAGATGCGGAGCACGTCTTCTTTGTCTGTCCTCGTTTCGACCCACAGCGTGAAGAGCTGGAGAGGATCCTGAACCAGAGATTGCAACCAGATTCACTACACGGTGAGAAATTTCTGTAGAAATTTACTATGCATACATAATAAGACTGCACCTTAATGACTCAATTCAAAATATTACCATAAAAATTTAAGAATATTATATTGTACCAATCAATATTTA